GGCCACTACATAATACTGAAAAGATCTATCCAACAGGAAGATATAACCTTGGTAAACATATATATGCCCACTATGTGAACACCAAAATATATTTTAAAACTTCTGGAGGACTTCAAAAAAGAAACCGACAGGAATACAATCATAGCAGAGGACTTCAACACCCTACTGACATCACTGGACAGATCCTCTAGACAAAAAAATCAGCAAGGAAACAGAGAATTACACCCTAATACTGCAGGATTCACATTCTTCTCAAGTGCACATGGCACAGTCTCAAAGACCACATGTTAGGAAACAAAATTAGAAATAAAATGGGAGAAGTAACAACTGACACCACAGAAATACAAAGGATCATTGAAACAGACTATGAACAATAATATGCCAATAAATTGGACAATCTAGACAAAATGGACAAATTTTTAGAAACACACAGCCTCCCAAAACTGAGCCCGGAAGAGATAGAAAACTTTAACAGACCAATAACAACTAAGGAAATTAAAGATGTAATCAAGAATCTCCCAGCAAACAAAAGCCCAAGTTCAGACAGTTACACTGGGGAGTTTTACTGAACACTCAAAGAAGAATTAATACCCATTCTCAAACTATTCCAAAAAATTCAAGAAAAAGGAAGAGTTCCAAACTTGTTTTATGAGGCCAGCATCATTCTAATTCCAAAACCAGATAAAGACATTACAAAGAAAGAAAAACTACAGGCCAATATCTCTGATGAACATAAATGCCAAGATCCTTAACAAAATGGCAAATCATTAAAAATACATTAAAAAAATTATTTACCATGCCATGTGGGATTCATCCCAAGGATGTAAAGCTGGTACAATATTCACAAATCAATAAATGTGATGCACCACATATACAAAATGAAAGATGAAAATCATATTATCATATCAATAGAAGCTGAAAAAGCATTTGACAAAATCCAGCACCCATTTCTGATAAAAACAATCAGCAGTCGTCGAATAGAGGGATCATATCTCAACACAATAAAGGCCATATATGAAAAGCCTACAGCCAACATCATACTCAATGGGCAAAAACTAAATGCTTTTCTCTTAAAAACAAGAACAGGACATGGATGCCCACTTTTGCCACTCTTATTTAACATAGTACTGGAAGTCTTAGCCACAGCATTCAGACATGAAGAAAAACTAAAAGGGATCCAAATTGGAAAGGAGGAAGTGAAACTGTCATTATTTGCAGATGATGTGGTATTGTACATAGAAAATCCTAAAGACTCCCATCAAAAATCTATTGCCTCTAATAAATGAATTTGGCAAAGTAGAAGGATACAAAATTAACATCAAGAAATTGACGGCATTCATATACACCAATGATGAACTCACAGAAAAAGAAACTAAGAAAATAATCCATTAAGGCCAAAACATTAAGATACCTAGGAATCAATTTAACCAAAGAAGTCAAGGACCTATTTGCAGAAAACTACAGGACAATGAAAAAAAATAGAGGAAGATATAAAGAAGTTGAAGGATATACCTTGTTCATGGATTCGAAGAATTAATATCATTAAAATGGCCATAGTACCCAACGTCAATACAATCGCCATTAAAATACCAATGACATAGTTCACAGAACTAGAACAAATACTTCAAAAATCTATATGGAACCAAAAAAGACTCCAAATAGCCACAGCAATGTTTAAAAAGAACAAAGTAGGAGGGATCAAAGTACCAGATATCAGGTTATACTACAAAGCCACTGTAATCACAACAGCCCGGACCGGCATAAGAACAGGCATATAGATCAATGAAGCAGAACAGAGAACCCAGAAATTGACCCAAATTAATATTTGACAAAGGTGGCAAGAGCATACAATGAAGTAAAGACAGTTTCTTTAATAAATGGTGTTGGAAAAATTGGACAGCTACATGCAAAAAAATGAAACTAGACCACCAACTTACACCATACAGAAGAATAAACTCAAAATGGATAAAAGACTTAATTGTGACTCATGAATCCATAAAAATCCTAGAAGAAAATATAGACAACAAAATTTCAGATATTACATGCAAAAGAATTTTCACTGATACAACACTGAAGGCAAGTGAAACAGGAAAAAATACATGGGACTGCATCAATCTAAAAAGCTGTACAGCAAAAGAAATGAGCATCAAAATGGAAAGTGAACCCACTATATAGGAGAGCATACGTGCCAAGGATACATTAGATAAGGGGTTAAATTCCAAAATATATAGAATAGTCATACAATTCAACCACAAGAAGACAATTCCAATTAAAAACTGGGCAGAGGACCTAAACAGACACTTCTCCTAACAGAACATACAAATGACCAAGAGACATATGAAACATGTTCAATGTCACTAATCATTGGAGAGATGCAAATTAAAGCAACTATGAGGTATCACCTTACTCCTGCCAGAATGGCTGCCATCAGCAAATCATCAAACAAGTGCTGGAGAGGGTGTGGAGCAAAGGGGACTCCAGTACACTGCTGCTGGGAATGCAGACTGCTGCAGCCGCAAGGAAAACCTAATGGTGTTTCCTCAAAAAATTAAAAAATTAACTTCCATTTGACCCAGTGATTCCACTTCTAGGAATATATTCTAAGAAGCCTGAAACATCAATCAGAAAGAATATGTGTACTGCTATGTTCATAGAGGCACTACTTACAATTGCTAGGATTTGGAAACAGCCCAAGTGTCCATCAATAGATGAATGGATCAAAAAACTGGTACATACATATACATGATGGAACACTATGCAATTGTAAGAAAGAAAGATCTTGTATCTTTTGAGATGACATGGAGAGACCTGGAAAGTATTATGTTAAGCAAAGTAAGCCAATCAGAGGAAGACAAATACCACATGATCTCACTTTTATATGGAATATAATAAAATAAGTTGATCAACAAAGTAGACCCAGAGACATAGAAAGGAGTACTGTTCAGACTGACAAACTTCAGAGAAGGGGAGTGGGGCAGGGGGGATGAGATAAACCAAAGAACTTATATGCATGTATGTGAACCAGAGGACATAGACAACAATGCTCAGGTGGGGGTATCAAGAGGATACCGGGGGCCGGGGGAGGAGAAACATCTGTAACAAAAACTAATTGATTAAAAAATATAAAAAAAAAAATTATCCTGTTATATTTGGTCCAACATTTAGTTAAGTCACCCCTAATGTGATGGCTTGAACTGCTTCCATTTTATGAGGCATGTAATGTTAGCTGGCCCTTGGGCCAGATATTCCCCACCCCTGATACAGGACCACGAAATGGGGGTTACTCTGTCAACATTTGTCCTGATTTCTTCTTGCATGAATGGGTATAAAATCTACCCTTTTATCTACTTCAGATTTTTTCCTCTTAAACATTCACTTCACACTCTAGTGTAAGTGTTGGTGAACTAGGTTAGCTAAAGAGCGGGGCTCCTTTAGGTTGGAAGCAACCCTGAGCTTCCTTCAACACACAAAACAATCTAAATGACTTGCTTGGGCTCTTTTTCTGTAACCTCACACCTAAATCTTAAGCATTATTATGCCCATCACTCTAGAGGCAGAGAACAAGCAAGCAAACAAGTGGTAGTTTTCCTTCATTCCTTAGCAATGTTGGTCTAATTTACCCACCCCAGGCCTGACCTACTACAGTCCAGAGGAAGAAGATAGAGGAAATCTGAGTAAAGGTGGCAGGACACAAGAGGCCAGAGATCCTGATGAATGATCAGGATTTAACACATTTCATGTTGGCACTGAAAACTTCATCACTTAGCATAGCAGTCCAACAAAATTGTCTTCTTGGCCCTAACTCATCTCTGTAGAAAAAGGGAAGGGAAGGGAAAGAAAATATGAGTAGCTAGAGGCCAACACCAAATAATCTGATTCCTAGGATTTTGTTCTAATAGGAAGGAAGAAACACTATGTATGAACATATTGAATACAGGATATTCATATTAATTTAAAATTGCAATGAACTTAAATATTCAATAATAAAATGTCAAATAAATTGTATAATCGTTTGTACATGCTATGCAAAATAACATTTTAAAATAAGTAAAGAAGCATAGTCAAAATTGTTTATACTTTATAGTTTTTGTGCCATGTACGTGTAGACAAATATAGGAAAGGATTACATCAAACTAATGGTACTTTAGGTGAAAGAATTATAGTTTTCTTTTTTTTTTAGTATGTGCCCCTAGCAGGAACCCCGGGACTCTGGTTCGCAGGCCGATACTCCAACCGCTGAGCCACACTGGCTAGGGCAGATTTTTTTAATTTAAAAAGTCCTTAATGTTGTATTGTTTTTAGAATACATAAAGAAGCAGATTTTATATTTTTCCTCATATTAGTCAGTGAACCTTTCTTTAAAGTCTACTTAAGAGATTGCTATTTTCACTAAGCAGATAACACAATTCTTATCTATTATAAAGACAAAAGATGAATCACAGAAGTGGTCTGTTCTATTTGGATTTTATATTTTTGAGTGCTGGCTGTTTGGGGGCATATTTGAAATGGAAACAGGTGCTTCATTAATCAACCAGGAGAAGCTGGTGTTTTATGGCATGTGCTGGTGCCATAGACTTCTTTGAGAATGTAATGAAAGAATACTGTCCCAAAACATGCACATACATGTGGAAATAACTTGCACAAAATCTAAGGTGATTCATGGATTGCCTGTGGTTCTTAACTGGCTGCCCTATAGGGATTTATGAGACACAGAGCCAAAACTCTTGAATAACAAATTGATGTTCACACAAAAATTATGGCATTCCCCTGGCTCATGGAAAAATTAAATAAAGGATTGTTTGGCAATAAAGATGGAAATAATCATCCATGACCTTGGGGGCTGGTGGAGGTTGGGTTGCCACCTCAGCCATCACAGTGAACAGCAGCTGCAGGAAAGGTGGATACAAAATGAGGACTTATTACTAGATGCTCAGATGCTAGCAAACACTCATTTACACTCTTGTGTAATCTCTAACATTATGGTTCTTTTGTTTTTGCAGTCCACTGACATGGATTGAAGAGAAAGGGCCTGGTCTAAAACGAAACCGACATTTAAGCTTTCATTTCAAATCTGGGTCCCTGGAGAATATGCCGAATGTAGGAGTCAATAAGAATATTTTTCTGAAAGACCAAAATATGTTTGTCCAGAAACTCTTAGGCAAGTTTCCTGAAACGGAACTGGCTGCTGAAAAGAAACGCATCCTACATTGCTTGTGGCTTGCAGAAGAAATCCAGAAATACTGTTGCTAAAAGAAGAAAGCAACAGGGCACTTCCAAGATGAAATCATAGTTTAATTTTTATCAAGAGTTGACTTTCTCTATTCTTTCCATTAAACATGTCTTGGCTAAACAGTTTGGTTATTATCATGAGCTGTATTGGGAGTGGTATTTGAGAGTAGGGGCTTATGTAGTGGGGAAGAGGAAAAACTCAGTTTGGTTAAGCTGATCCAAATGCTTTTTGTGCCTGATTTTACTTAATTTTTCCAACAGCCATATCAGAAGGATATTATCCGGCTTGTTTTTATTAGTATGTTGGAAATTCTTGTTTGAAATTATCCACTAGCAGAACTAGTTTTTAAACTCAGGCACTCCACCACTACAAAATAGTGCCAATGAACCTTCTTTCCTGCTTTAAGGAATTTTATTTTCCCTCACAAATTTTCATTAGTTGACTATGCTAAGTAGTAGTGTTTCTAAAAATCAGTGAAACAAAGCTACTGCCCTCAACTCACAGTGTCATAAAGGAACTAATCACACAAACGTCATTGTAATGTAGTAGGTGCAATTAAAAAAAAAAAAAAAAATACAGCCCTGGCCCTGGAAAAGGGTTCAGGGAAGACTTCCAAACCAAATCTTGATGATGAATAAGTAAGTTAACTGTGTAAAGGTGAATGAGGATTTCCTGGCAGAGAACTGACATAAGGAAATAAAGTGAGAAGCAGCCTGGTGTGTATCATGGGAACACTTACTAGAGGAGGGAGTCCCAGGGAAGCAAATCTTATCATGGGGAACCCCGTAAGCCAGGTCAAAGAGCTGGCATGTTATTTATTAGGCAGAGGCACCAAAAGGTGTTATTTAATAAGGGAGTGGCATGCTCAGTTTTCCAATTAAGATAAAGCAGAAGGCTGCCTGGAGGAGATGAAACTTGAGACTAAGGAGGAGGCATCCAGTTGAGAGCCAACAGATGTTTGTGTTTTTAGCCTTTGCCTTGTCTGAATTTGTTCCTCACGTTGAGTCAGATTCTGCTGAACTCGAGGAAGAGCCAAGTCCCAGGAAACTGCTCTTTTCTTCAAAGCTTGAGTTGGCTTTCTTGCTTCTGTAAATCCTCCACCTTGTTTTTTACCTACTCCTTGCTTGCCATTAACCAGCTTAAAATTTATGAGGTCATTGATGGAGGCAAACTCAATTTTTTACCTGTTGATCTTATTTCATCACCATAGTATATCAAGGTAAATAAAGCAGGCAGATATATTAAAATCTTTAGATATATTTAAATTTTAAAAAGCCTATGGTTATTCTATTTGCCATATAAAATCATTTGTAATAAAAGTCCATTTATTTTCTGGGTTTGTTATTCACATCAAATGTACCTTAAAGTCAGGGAATATTGTATCTTTTTGTATGCATCTAGTATAAGATAAATATTAACTATTTCATTATTAAAATGCAGTGCAATCACTTCTCCCATTTGGCCTTGATAACTGCTGTTTTAATAATATTATCCCTACTTTACATTGGAAGTGGGAGGTAGTCAAAAGAAACCAGAGCTGGAGAGTAAAGTTGAATAAACAGATTTTATTCAGGACTGTAGCAATAGAGGGAAAGAGGCCTCAGTATACACCTGAGCTCAGTTCCAAATAGAGCATGGGCAAGTGGGGATTGGGTCAGTGGATATAAAATTACTAAGAGGAAACATAAAGGGTAAAGGGAGATTCTGGTTAAACTATCTTGACATGATTCTTACAGAAGGCATGTCAGCCTGATTAAATACCAAAAATGGGATGAGGAATTTGATCATATATTGAGGGTGAGGATGTTTACTAAATTGATTTAGTAGGATTGGCTAAAATTGTGTGATACAAAGATAGGCATGGAAGTTCTAAGGTCAAGGCTTAAGTGAGAAGAATGTTTAGAGGAGCCTGACTAAACTTTGGTCAAGGAGTAAAACAATTAGTCACATATAAGGGAAACCCCATATCGCTATCACCTGATTTTTCACTAGCAATTTTACAGGCAAGAAGAAAGTGGCAGGAAATATTTAAATTCCTGAAAGAAAAAAAAAAACTACCACCTAGAATATGATACCCAGCAAGGTTATTGTTGAATTGAAGGGGAGCTAACAAGATTGCTAGAAGTAATCAAAATGTTCATGACCACTAAATTTGGTTTACAAGAAATATTAAAGGGTCTTTATGTAGAAAATTATAAATTACATTGAGAAAAAATACAGGAAAAAAATCTTACAGGCAAGGTAAGCAGAAGTAACACAGTAAATTAGCTACTTAAAAAGCTAATATGAAAGATAAAATACAAAATTCACAAAATTGTAACTAGAATAAGTGGGATAAACAAAACAAAATACATATAAAATATGACATCAAAAACTGAAAGTATGGAAGAAAAGTAAAAATGTAGTGCTTTTAGAATGCATTTAAATTTTAATGTCTATCAGCTTAAAATAGACTGCTATAGATATACGTGCATTTAACAACCCCATGGTAACCACAAACCAAAAAAGACCAAAGTACACAAAAAATAATGAGAAGAGAACTCAAATCACTAAAGAAAACCAGCAAACCAAAAGGAAGTCGATCAGAGAAGAAGAAAAAAACTACAAAAACCAAAATTATCAAAATGGCAATACATACACACATGTCAAGAGTTATTTTAAATATAAATGGATTAAATTCTCCAAAACATACGGTAGCTGAAAGTATTGGGGTGGGGGAAAGATATCTAGCCTTGCCAGTGTCTCAGTGGTTAGAGCTTCACAATTGAATTCTACCAAACATTTAAACAACTAATGTCTATCCTCAAAATCCAAAAAATGAAAATGAAGAAATGCTTTTAACTTCATTGTACAAGACCAGCATTACCTTGACATCATTACCAAAGACAATAGAAGTTTCCAAAATGGTGGTGGAATGAATGGAAGCTACACAGACCGTCTCCCAAGACCAAACAAATTATAACTAAAATAAAGACAAATTTTGGAAAAAAGGACACTAAATTGAGCCTGGTAGGATCTCCAGAGGCATAAGAGAGTGGGCTGGAAGCCCACAAACAGCAGCTGTTTTAGCTGTGAGCAGCTCCCTTGGGGTTAACACACAAAGCCTGCATCCCAGACCAGAGGACCAGGGCAGAGCACTAAATTAGCTACAGCTACTCACCTTGGGCTCTGGCAGAGGAAGGGCAGATGAACGGCAGGTAAACTGGAACTTTGTAGAAACTTGGGAGCTTGGAGAACTGGGAGGGCAATGGGAGTTTTTTGCTGAATCTCTCCCTCACAGGACAGTAGCCATATTACTCAAAGAGTTCCAGGGAGAAGCAAAAGCCCCTCCCTCAGAAATTTAATACTGCCTGGCCAGGCCTGAGAAATGCAAATTGAGGCTTATTAACAGACAGCAAGCATCTGCCCCACCTGCTGGAAATCCTTACACCCTGAATATCTGAGGGATTCTTTCATTCAGTTCAGGACTACAACCAAAGGCACATCAAGATATCCTCCAGGACCAAAGCTAGAGGATAACTGAAAGTTTCCTGGGCATGCCAATCCACCCAGGAAATTAAGACTTGACAGTGGTGTTTAATGGTTGTCCTCTCACACTCAACCAAACCCAGTAGAGCGAGCCACAATTAGAACATCAACACCCACAGGTAAAATTTGGCAGGCTCCAAAAACCACTGAGACAGCCAAAAAGGTGAAACAGAAACAAATCCCAAGTGAAAGGACAAGAGAACTTTACTGAAGAAGAGCTAAATGATGCAGTTAAGAAAGTTATCAGAGGTAGAGTTCAGAATGATGGTAATAAGGAACCTCCAGAGCATAAGTAAAGATAGAAACTTTGAAAATCAATCAATTGGAAATGAAAAATCACTAAGCAGAAATGAAGAATAACATAGCAGAAATAAAGAACACATTGGAAGGAATAGCCAGCAGAGTAGAGGAGGCCGAGGACCAGATCAGGGAATTGGAAGACTGGGTAGAAAAAAATCACCCAATCAGAAAACCAAGAAGAAAAAACTAAAAACAGGACAGCTTAAGAGAACTGTGGGACAATATGAAACATAACAACATCTGAATCATAGGCATTCCAGAATAAGAATATGAGCAAGGGTTAGAGAATATATCTGAAGAAATAGGGACAGAAAACTTTCCTTACTTGGTAAAGGAAAAAGGTACACAGTTCAAGAAACATAGAGTGCCCCAAGCAAGAAGAATCAAAACAGGCCCACAACAGGACACATAATAATTAAAGTACCAATAATTAAAGACAATCCTAAAGGTAGCAAGAGAGAAGCAACAGGTTACCTCCAAAGGAACCCCCATAAGGCTATCAGCTGACTTCTCAACAGAAACACTACAGGCCAGAAGGGAATGGCATAAAGTTATTAAGGTAATGAAAAACAAGGATCTTAATCCAAAACTACTCTATTCAGCAAGGCTATCATTCAAAATAGAAGGTGAAATAAAGAGCTTACCAAATGGGAAAAAACAAAAACAAAAAAAAAGGCTAAGAAAACATTACTGCCAAAACAGCACTGCAAATGTTTAAAGTACTGTAATTAATGGAATAGGAAGAAAAATATAACCACAATAAACAAAAATAGCAATAAATAAGTACATTTCGATCATATCTTTGAATGTAAATGGATTAAATGTTCCGATCAAAAGACACAGATTAGCTGACTGGAAAAGAAAGCATGACTCATATATATGTTGTTTACAAGAGTCTTACCTCACACAAAAAAAGACTTACATAATTTGATAGTGAAAGGATGGAAAAGATGGTGGTGGGCAGGACCGGAGGGCAGTGAGTGTGTGAGAGAGTGAGCGAGTGTGTGAGAGAGTGTGAGTGGACATAAAGGTGGATGACCAAACACAAACAATGCAGAACCACAGAGCAGAAATTTTCTGTGCTATGGACCAGAGCAGCTGGCTATCGTGGTAAGCTGCCCTTCAGGGCACTTCTCCCTGAGCTGCAGGAAAGTACCACAATTTTGGAAGATCCCAGGTCTTCCCTGGGAGGAGGCAGTGGGAGCGGCTAGGGCCCAGCAACCTGAGCCCACCAGCACACCTGGCTCCATCAGACCAGTGGACATTGTGTCAACACAGACCAGTGCACAGTAGTGGAGCTCCCAAGGTGCTGGTCACAGAACTCACAGACATCCAGGAGCTCTGCACCATCCTCCATAGTAGCAGACCAATCAGAGTCAAGATATACCCCTAGCAACAGAGGCTAGGGAACAGACATCCATCCCCAGGCAACAGAAGCACAGACTAGCAGCTGAGACCCATCCCCAAAATCTACAGCAAAAGCTGAACAAAGTGGAACCCCATGGGACAGCAGCACTCCCCAGCCACCAGCAGCAGGACCTGGGGCTCCACAGTGGCCTGTGAGGTCCAGTAGCTTACAAGAACAGTGGGAAGCCAAAGCCTGAGAGAGACTGGTGTGAACTAGCTGCCCTCCCATGGGAACAGCAGTATGTGGGGGCACCAGAGAGGCCTGTGCAACTCAGAAGAGACTGTGCAATCTAGTTACCCCCAGGCTCTGCTGGGTGCTGAAGCACCAGAGAGGCCTGTGCGACCCAGCAGCCCATATCAT